GAAACTACATCTTGCTAGACTTGTGTCAACTGAGTTACAAAACACATTATTTGTAAAGAACTAATCATAATCTTAATAGGCAGGAGTATAATCCTTATCCTACAGGAAAATTCTAAAACAAAAAATAAAAAATGCATTTCCGTACCATTTTAGTTAAGAACTCTTGTTTACTTTTGAAAAATTTTAAAATAATATTAAAATTAGTGAAGGGTAATAGCCCACTTATTTGTGTGTACTTCGGCTTGTTGCTGAAATTTGGCCCAATAAAAATGCCGAGAGGAATATGAAAGTCGAAGGCCCAAAAATTGGCTTCTAATGGGCTGGGCCACTAAATTGATTGAAGCACTTCCCCAACACAACCATTACGCGTGCCTTTAAATGATTTAAACATTTTGTTGGCAACCTTTCATCATCAAGTGTGATTAGTATAGAGATTTACAAATAATTTGGGTAACTGGAGTTGTTATTAGTATTTCCAAAAGTTATTTTATACTTTAAATTTATAAAAAAATGATTGAAATTTTGTATAAAAATAGGTGCATGTCAAGATTTTTGGAATGTCAATAGCAATAGTCTTTAAGTAAAATGTAACTCATAATTAATCGTTTAGGTGAATCACCCTCTGTACTTAATTTGTAGAAAAAGATTATGTATGACTACTTAAAAGATAATGCAATTGATGAGGCAAATGCCTAGAAAATATTTATTTTTTTGCATTTGCGTCATGTCTTTTATTAATAAATTAGGTGGTGAGATCTAATTTGCCGAAACTTTTTCACAAGGCAATTAGCCTTGTGAAACCACCATAAATGTGTTCCTAATTGGAGGGAGGTTTTGTTGACATAACGCATCGAATGAGTTTATCTAGTCAATTGACTAGTCCTTCAAAATGCTACAAGGGTAACATTATGAAAAAACCCGAATATAATTTAACATTTAAAATAACTTGTAAGTTTTTGGTCATGGCATCATTTCACTGAGAACTATTTACATGACAAGAGTACTCTATCATATGGCGTTCCAAGTTAATAAAATAAAGACACGTAAACAAAAAATTTATATATATTTTTTTAAGGATGTGATATCCACACACTACATTTAGGTGTGTAAGAAATACAATGGGGTTTGTGGATAACACACCCCTTTTTTTATTTTAATGATACGAAATGCAATATTGGTATACCCTTTCTATTTAATCTCATTGCACCTCCTTTTATATCAGTAGTCAAAGCTAATAAATGATCATTGTCTTTGCGAAATCCCAACTTTTACAAAGAAACGATATTATTTACATTAAGGGAGAGGGGGAGTGAGCTTAGCCTCACAATAGACTATCAATAATATGGTTCAAATTGGCCTTTAGCAAAATCGAACCTAAGAAGCAGTCAATTGGTTTTTGTTTTTTCTTTGGGTGCATTTGGGCGATTCTTTGTTTCAGCGGAGCACCACAACGCACCAATTCCGTCGCCTTTTATATCTCCTCTCTTTCCGCTATTTGTTTCTTTGTTTTCCGCAACAAAAAAATTGGGATAAGGATTCTCGACCCTCTTTTTTTCTTTTCCCTTACCTCCACTCTTGTTTGAACGCTTAGGATTTTATCTTGTAGAGAGAGAGAGAAAAAAAAAATTGTGAGAAGAGGGGAGGGAGGGGAGGGAAAAAGAGAGGATAGAGAATCCCCATCCAAAAAATTGGTTTCTTCTAAGGTAAATTCAAAGAAAGAGAAGCACTCTAGTTCTATATCTTTTGCTACTAATCTTTACACTTTGTTTGGATGAGGAAAAACAAGAGTATTTAGGAATTTGAAAATGAAGGAAATTGAAATGACGAAATTTTATTTTTTAGAATTTGTGAATTTTTTTATTTGGTAACTTAAATAAACAATGAAATTTGAATACGGAATTTGTTATTTTTAAACTCACTCTCATAGAAATTTGAAAATGGCACCTATTACATGGAATTTAAATTTGAGAATTGGAGGTCCTAAATTCTAAGTTTTTTTTTTCACGCATAAATTCTAAATTTTATATTTATGAATCAAAATAACAGAATTGATGCATATTAATTTACAAATTATGACTTTTGTCAAAATTTCAAGTTTATTTTCTTCATCTAAATATAGTGTTAGTCTCTCATATTACTCGTTGTTCCTGAGGAAGTGTTGCTTCTATGTACACATGAGCATTGTTAAGGGCTCGTTGACAATAATTTCTGGTTTCTAACTTCATGTAAAATAAAAATGAAAACAAATTAGTTATATAACGACTCTTTGATTTTGTTCTTCTGATATTTATGCTTACATTCAAATGGGAGCATGATTTTATTTATTTTCATTTGCAAGTAATTAATATATATATATAATTTGGTGAACTACATTAACGGCTAAACATAACTCAAAGCCACGTGGTTTTAGACATAAACATGGTATAATCACCAAAACACAAGTAGGTAATCATATAGCATGAGAATGAAGAAGTTAATCAATTTTCTTTTCAAAAATTCTACAATGCACCGGTGTATGAGATGCACTGATACAATGGATGACTACATTTTAACAATCACAATCACAACTTAACTATTTGAACATTGGTGCATCCCATACATTGGGTTTGTGATATAAAACATAGGGTTAAACTCTGTTTACTACCCTCATATTTCGTGGTTTTCAACATTTAGTACATCAAGTTTTTTTCGTCCCAAAGTCATACCTAAAGTGTTAATTTTGGGACAGTCTCATACATCCGTTAGTCAAACTGTTAATTCTCATGTTAAGTGATGATGTGGCGCCCAGGTGGAACAATGATTGGGCGCCGCGTGTCATTAAAATAATTAATTAAATAAAAGTTAAAAAAAAAAAACCCCATCCCTTCTCCCCCCCCCCAACGCAGAAGAAGAAGAAGAAAACAACAAAAAAACCGAATCTGCAACCCAAAAGAAGAAAGAGGAGGAAGAAGCAAAAAAAAAACTGAATTTGCAACCCAGAAGAAGAAGAAGAAAAATCGAATCTGCAACCCAGAAGAAGGAGGAAGAAGAAGAAGAAGAAGAAAAAAATCGAATCTGCAACCTAGAAGAAGAAAAAGAAGAAAAAAAAAAAGCTGCCCAAACCCAGTTCGTCCCCCCCCCCCCCCCCCCCCCCGCGGGGGAACCCACCTGCCTTCCTTCCCCGCCTCACGACTGCGAATGCAAACCCAGACCATGAACTTCGTATTTTTGGGATTTTCAATGTGGCTGAATTTTGAAAATACTTTGAGATGGGGAGTTTGAGTTTGAGATGATTTTTGTACTAGTTTTGTGGTAGATCTCCATTAATGTGGAAATGACGAATTGGGTTTTCTTTTTTTTTCCTCCTTCTTCTGGGTTGGGGACGGGACTGGGTTTTTTTTTTTTTATTTTCCTCCTCCTTCTTCTTCTTCTCCTGCGTTGGGGCCGGGGGTAGTGGGGGGTGGAAAACTTGATGTACTAAATATTGAAAACCACGAAATATGAGGGTGATAAACAAAGCTTAATTTCATTTTACCTATGATCTAACTTTACCAATTCTCATCCTTTTTAGTATTTGCAAACTCACCAATTTTATGAATGCATGGATCCATAGGAAGGTACGAAAATGTACTCATTAGTCAGTATTCACATCGGTCTTCAATTTTACGGCGCCAATTGGCAAATGTGGGAAAATTCTCTCCTTGGTGAGAGTTCTTTTTCTCTTTCCTGAGAGTATTTCTCACTACCTGTGAGCCTTTCGATCTTGGGTTTTTCCAGTGACACTGGACCTAGTTTCGGCTAGAGTCGGCTGTCGTGTCTTTTCTTGTTTCTTTTCCTTCTTCTCTCCTTGCTTCTACAGTTATCTCTTCTCAATTTTCTCTCTAGTCTTCTCTGTTCCTCTACTCTTGAAGGTATACCTCTTCCCTGCTTATCTTTGATCCGATCGTCAGCCATGTTTCTATCAGAGATTGTGTGTAAAGTTCCGGCAGTTGCTCTAGCTCGGGTGGTACAACCACCACCACTTTCTCCTTGTAATCTGTCGGTTTCGACAGAGTTCGTGGGTATTCGCGAACTTCATTCTGATGGTCGGTTTTTCTCACTTGGCTGCTGATTATCCCTTGTTTATGGTTGTGCTCTTGTAGCAACTTGTGGTTGGAGGTGGCATCTGTGGAGGCGTTACTGGACGGAGGAGGGGAATCGGGCCATGGACTTGTTTCAGAGGGTGGAGAAGGCTGTGGAAGTTTCTAGCGGAAACTATGTTGTTTCTGGGCCTTTCTGTTATTGGGACTTTTTTCTGTTTTCCTTTAGTTTTAGGTTTTTTGTTTTTTTGTTGTATTTAATGTGTGTATGCCTCTGTTGTAATGTGTGTTTTTATAGTAATAAAATTTCCTTTGACCAAAAAACTAAAAAAAAGGGGGCAATTGTGGGGACAGAAATTGGGCACTGAGCTTTGGACTCGATCGTTCAAATTTTGTACCCATCTAATAATTTTGTGTGGTAGTACAACCATAAAAATTGTTTCAGATTCAGACCAAGTGACTCAGAGAGAGTAAGGTTAAACTTAAAACAAAAAAAAAAAAGAAAAGAAAGAAGAAGATAATATGCCGGATTTATAAGAATCCATGTAATGAATGCCAATTCAGATTTCAGGGTTTAGTGTCTCTTTCTTTCACGTGTACCTTCCTCACTAACGATGCTCCATTTATTAGTGTTCCTGAATCCTGACCAAGGTCTTGGTGAATGGCTCCAAGACTCCCAATATTTGAACTTTTCTGGTTATTTATATGAATAACTGTTTCATGGACATGTTCTGTTATATGACGTCTCAGTTTAACAAATTAATGTTATGTAATGTTAAATTTACATAAAACAATACATATAAGACTAAAACATCACATGTTTTTATATAAATTATTTTTGATTTTGTGAACACTTCTCTCTCTTTTATTTTGATGAGAGGTTTTTGCAAATGTCCCAAATTCAAACGGGTACAAACACGAGAAAATTTGTTACTTCTTTTATTTATGTTACAAGATGTGGAGTATCGGTTAAATACTTGGTACTTAAAAAATCTTTCCACTCTGAGGCATGAACCAATTTCGAAGAAGCTTCCAAAATGCTTCATTTGAATGAGTATAAAAAATATGATGGTACCTACAATATTTTCAGTGTTTATTTATTTATTTTTATAAAGTAATATCCATTTCATAAAAGTTTTGGGGGGTAGTTCTTGACTAATGGTTGGGTTTGCTAGAAGTGGGATGGAGTTAAAGTTTGAGTGAAAGGGAGTTGTGTGCCAAGTTAGAAGTTGCAGTTCAAGAGGAAGTGATTGGCATCCAAGCTTACTTTTTCCAGCTTTTAATGGAGAGTGATGATTTGCTTTTGAAAACAATGGAGAAAACTTGAAGAAAAAAGTGGAAGGGTTTGAAAAGTACTTTTGGAGGAAGCAGAAAAAAAAAAAGGGTATCACCAAATTAATCAAAAATGCCAACAGTATGGTTCTCTCTGAAGAAATCTCTGCACTGCCAATCAGAGCCATCAGATGTTCATGCTCCAAAAGCCAGGAAGCAACTGAGCACAATCTTGACAAGAAAGGCAAGAGGAGGAAGATCAGGGTGCTCAAGATCCATAGCAAATCTCAAGGATGTGATTCATGGAAGCAAGAGGCATATGGAAAGGCCACCAAGTAATTGCAGCCCAAGATCCATTGGAAGCAGTGAGTTTCTCAACCCAATAACCCATGAAGTAATTTTGAGCAACTCAAGGTGTGAGCTCAAAATCACCACCAGCCTTGGTGGCTTCCATGACGGTGTTGGGGGTGGAAATGCCAACAATGGTGGCGGCGGTGGCGGTGGCGGTGGTGGTGGTTCAACGTTTATGGATACCCTAAAGCCTGGGACACCTGGTCCTGGTGGGCATCCCACAATGCACTACTTCAATCCATCTTTTAGGACTTCCTCAACTCCTCCAAGAAAAAGCCATTTTCTGGCTTCTGCTGATAGTACAGAAGGGCATGCTGGCTTCAAGGGTTCTGCTTTTTCTGGAAGTGCTGGCGGAATTAGACAAAGCAATAGGATTTCTTTCGACACAGAAAATTCTAATGGCTCTTGTGCAATTACTTGCCACAAATGTGGAGTACATTTTACCAAATGGGATGCTGCTGAAGCTCATCATCTCTCTAAACATGCTGGTAAGAAATTACCCTTTCGCTGAAACTTAATTAAACTCTGATTTTTGGTAAAATTTTATTGAATACTAAAACAGTTCTTTAGTTTATTCCATGTTTCCAACCCTTTTTCTTTCTTGTTCTTGAGTGTTTTCTACTGCATATATTCCAAATTTCCTTATCCCTTTAGGACTTGTGTCTAAATTCTTCTGACCGCAGAAATATGAACACTTTGGTTTACAGATCGTAAATCTTTTTCTGACCAATTTATTATATTTTTTTTCCTTATCCTCTTAGGCTCATAGTACCATATGTTTACGTCCACAAAAATATTAGCACCTTTTGTTTTCAAGCTGGGAAAGAGGAAATGTGCAAAGATTATTAATCCAGCAGAAAAGAATTGAACTTGTTTAATGTATATTTATATACTTTAACTTTGGAAATTAAACCAGACATTGTTTAACGAATCTAGCAGAAACTGGATTTGGGTTCAAGTTCATCTTTTGATTCGAGTCTCACTTGATCGCCTGAAACTCGATCTTTCGGTTTGGTATAATATGGGGATTGTTTACATTTCTAAAAGGGTTATGATTTTTCTGAACTATCTTTTGATTTCTCAATTGCTTGCTTTTCACTCCTGATTTTACACTAGCTTTCCCACTCACATTATCCTCACAACTTCGGCAGTGACTGAACTGATGGAAGGCGACTCATCTCGAAAAATCGTTGAGATAATATGCCGGACAAGCTGGTTAAAATCCGAGAACCACTGCCGCCGGATTGAGAGAGTGCTCAAAGTCCACAACATGCAAAGAACTCTAGCGCGATTCGAAGAGTATCGAGAGATTGTGAAGATCAAAGCCAGCAAGCTGCCCAAGAAGCACCCTAGGTGCATTGCTGATGGGAATGAGCTCTTGAGGTTTTACGGCACCACAGTGGCCTGCGCTCTCGGCCTAAATGGATCCTCGAGCCTTTGCGTATCGGAGAAATGCAGCGTCTGTAGGATCATACGTAACGGGTTCTCCGCAAAAAAGGAGCTCAAGCAAGGTGTTGGTGTTTTTACAACTTCTACAAGTGGAAGAGCTTTTGAGGCAATTGAAGTATTGGAGGAAGATGCAAGTGTAAGGAAAGCTTTGATAGTGTGCAGAGTGATTGCTGGGAGGGTTCATAAGCCGTTGGAAAACATTCAGGAAATTGCTGGGCAAATGGGGTTTGATTCATTGGCTGGAAAAATGGGGCTTTATTCCAACATTGAAGAGCTTTATCTGCTAAATCCTAGAGCTCTCCTTCCCTGCTTTCTGGTCATCTGCAAACCCTGAAGATTTTTTTCATCTTTTTTTTTTTTTTTTGGACGAGTGAAAAATGGCTCAGTACATCTGTAATTGTGGTGTTATGTGAATCCCTCTCCTTGCTTTTTTTATTCTAATTTTTTTGGTGAAACCTCTATTATTTAAAAGTTGTAGTTCTCTCAGTGTCAAATCAACTGTATGCTGCTTATTCAGTTGGTGTTTGGGAAAGATGGGGCATACAAAAAAACAATAACAAAATTAATGAAAATAGTTTGAAAACTTTGAGTTTTAATGATAAGGGTAAAATAAAGGGTAAAGTAAATAGTATTAGATTTGACTTTTTAATGTAAGAATGTGATTTTTCATTAAAATAAATAGTATCGTGGGCATTTCGTTAAAACTCTCAAAAACAATGTGCTTTTGAGTGAAAAATCAAATTTCTTTTCCATACAAAATTATTGGGTAGGAAACTGAATTTGGATGCAGAAGACATTACTTTAGCCGACTTAATTATTTTAGATATGAGTAAGTAATATGTAATGTTTAAAAAATTAAAGTTTATTGAGAAATGTTAAGGAGGTTTTAAGTGTAATTCTTTATGAATTTTCTATTATTTTATATTTTTAACATAATATTAACTTTAAATTATTGTAAAATGACAAATAGTTCATAAAAAAATTTCCTAACATTTCTCAAGTTAATCATATGAGTAATGTTATTTATACTATATTTTTGTACCACATTACCATACCACCTTAGGTGGCATTTAATATAGACAGTCACATCATTTGAATTAATAAACAAATAATTAAAAAAAACTAGTTAATTAAATAATGATTGTGATATACGAAAAGTTTTTCTCATTCCTTTCCTTGGTTTTGCAAATTTTTTCAAATGATACTGTGCACATCTGATGCCTCCTAAATTTTTGGCTATCAGATCGGATGAATTGAAATAAATTAACGGACAGAAATTAACAAGGAATGTATGAGAAGTAATTTAAAATGTGTTGTTAGCACATTCCTAAAAATATGGTATAAAAATATAGTATAAATAGCATTACTCTAATCACAGTGATTGAATTGTTAAATTGTGTGCTTGCTCGTGCCCGCATTAAAGGAAAGGTCAATGTCTAATTAATAACATCAAAATGAGTGATTATCTCTCACCCCGAAGTGTGAAGTGGAGCATCAATTTCAATAGTTCCGTGGGAAGGCAGAATATAACAAAAATCACAAGTAATCATATAACTTTGAAACAATCAAAGTGCAAAACAGGTAGCTAGTGGAGCATTTAATTATTGAAAATCCAAAGTACAAAAAGAATTAGCACTATTAGTACATTAATTAATAAAAAATTAGAATTTATTTGAGAAGTACTTTTAAATAATTGAAATCGTTTCTACAGAAAATATTTTTAGATTCCAAAAACACTTAAAGCGCTCTATGCAAGAAGCATAAGTTTTGGGCTTTTTTTATTTGCACCGGTTTGGGCTTCTTCTACGAAGCACCTCGATTGTTTTTCCAGAATTAACTTACATTTTTATTAAAAATTGTTTTTAAAATATTTTTTTAAGAGTGGTGTTATTCACACACTCATTATTACTTCTCACCCACGCCTTTTGATTTAGCTGTCGGATTGAATAAATTGAAAATGATCAATGAAAAAAATTAATAAGTTTGTCAAAAATAAAAATAAATGTGTAAATAACATTATTTCTTTTTGAAAAACAGACTAAATCATTTAAAAGTCATTCCAAACCAAAGATTCTATCTAATTCTTAAAGGGAGGAGGGACCATATGAAGGATGAGAAGGGCATTAAGTGGTCCTTGTTGGAAAGTTTATGTCAAGGTTAGTCCAAAACCAGAGGATAAAAATAAAGAAGGATTGCATTGCATGACATAAGTTCACTGTCCAGCCCCAATTTGTTTTATATTTGATTGATAGTTTTCTGTAAATTCTTTTCTTTGTTGCTCTCTCCCCCTGTCAGAGATTTGATTTTCTTGGTGCTTACTCTTAGGGGTGGAAAAAATTCCCGAAAATCCCAAATCGAACCGAAAAAATTCCGATCCCAAACTAAAAATTTTCCAAACCAAAATTCCCAAACCGATCCTGAAATTTTGGTATGGGATTTGGGATTGACTTCTCAATATTTCGGGAATCCCAAACCGAAATTATATATTATTAATTTATATATATATTATTAATTTATATATATTATATATTATTCTTTTATAATTGATGCTAGTAGTTTCTAATTCATGCTCTGCAACCTGGAATGCCTTACACCTTGCATATTTTTCATGTTCTGTTTGATATTCATTTGGATTTTATTATTGATGCTGTCATGGCTAATGATTTCAGAAGGTTTGATTCTTTTGTCTCTTAACAGATTGTCAAAAGGGTTTAATTAAGTTGAATTTTGACTTTGATAAAAACAATCAAGCATGCCAATATTTGATTAAATGGTAGTGTGAATGAAATGACATTCCTAGTTCATGAATGTGTTCTTAAATTATATATTTGAAAAATAATTCATAATTTCATATTTTAATTTGGGATTCCCGATTTGTACTGAAATCCCGAAAATATTTCAGGATTCCCGAAATTTGGGATTCTCGAAATTTTGGTTTGGGATTGGTCTTTAAATTTTCGTCCCAAAAAATTTCGATTTGGGATTTGGGATACTACTTTCGGTTCGGTATCCCATACCGAACCACCCCTACTTACTCTTGGTGCATAAGCTGCTATCGTTCCATATAAGGGGACTCATTAGTCATATCCCTCTTTCTCCCTGTGCTTACGTTACTGTTTGTGAATGTAACACTGTCCAATAATATCAACATTTTTGTTTTATGTGAATTTGTAACATTGCGTGATAATTTTATAGTTATAACTCACATCAAAAGTTTATTTCTCTCTCTTCTGCTATATTATGTTACTAATTCATCAAAATACAACATGTGCCAATGAAGCGTTTATGCCTTAAGTTGAATTGTTAAAACTGCCTCCCAATTTTAACGGCCACACAAATGTTTACTCCTCCCCCTTCAATCGCATAATGTTACTATTTCATTATAACTACAACATATATTAATAAAAAGTCTATGCTTTAGAATAAATTGATAAAATCACGTGACATTGTTACGATACAAAAAAATTTGCTCCTCTCCCTCCTTGCTTAAAATGGTAATCAGTTGTGAGCTTTAAAGTCTGCATCTGTACAGCTTTTGAAGGCAATGTGGCACATGCACCTCATAAATGAATCCTTCCTACCCCTTCAGAACACTCGTCTGAAACCATGATGTGAAGAAATTGAATGAATACTTGAATTTAAAGTCTCATTAAATGTTTAAGAGAGGTAGCTTTTGGTTTTGGAGAGATTTTTGAATGTAGGCGGTATGCTATATGTTATTATACAAATAGATAATTTTTTTCTTCAAATATCTCTTTACTTGTATAATGACATAAACGTATGTCCGTGTTCGTACTTTGAACACAGAAAAATCTCTCATGGTTTTGGGGTTGCATTTGCATATGAACTCAATACTTGGAAATGTTTAATTGTATGCAGAGGACAGTTACTCCTTTGACATATTGACTCTTCGGTTTAGTCTTCATCGGGGCAGGCTGGACAGCCAATGGCTGTACCAATTCAGAAATCATGTCAAACTTCTGAGTGTGATTTAATTTGGAAGCGGCAGAGAGGCTTTGGGTTCTCAAATGTGACACCGCTAGGAGTTGATGGCTGTACAGACAATATTTGACCATAGAAAGTTTTAATAAATACTTCAGTAATATATTAACATTAATCGTTGTAAACAAGTGCTGAATTACCGTGATGAATATTATATTTCTCTTTAATTCATTGGATTTTGAGTTTAAATTCTTCTGCTTTTTGTAGTATAGATAAATATAGTGTAAATTATCTAATAGTTTGTCATAAAAATAAAAGCATCAGTCGGTATCAGGAGAACCTGTAAAGAGCTTTGTCAATAGAACTATACAATTACATTTCACACATTTTTGGGAAATGCAAATGGAGTTTTTGCTCCAAACTAAAATTGTTTTCCGGTTAGAAAAACATTAGAGCATCCCCAGCGTGGGGTTTAGCTCGGGGGACGGGCTCCAAAACGGAGGCCCGAGTGAAGGTGGACCAGCTCCAGCGTTGGGAAGCCGGGGGGAAGGGGAAGGCCCGAGGGCCAGGCCCGTGAGGAATCGACAGGCCTTGAGCCCGGGGTGGGAGTGACGCCATGCTGACGCCAGCGTGGCGTCAGCCTATTATTTTATTTTTTTTGTGTCAGGCGCGTGCACCCCACCCGCGCGTGGGGGCGCGTCCTGACACATTAATCAGAAAAAAAAAAATGTTTGTCTGTTACCGTTGGGAAGCCACGTGGCTTCCCACGGTACGTTAGATCGTAACGGTCACTTAATGTGGACCGTTAGATCTCAACGGTAAAAAAATTTCAAACTGTCAGATTTAATATCCACCGTTCGATCTGAGATCAACGGTGGATATTAAAATGCTTTAAAAATTAAAAAATAAATGAAAAAATAGTTTTAAAAATCTGAAAAGTTACCGTTGTGACACGTGGCACAATCTGGAGCGTTGGAATTCAAATTTTTTTATATCCAACGGCAGAGATTAATTAATTGAATAAAAATTCAAAAAAAAATGTAACGTATGGCGCCCTTCTTTCTTATCTTCTAACGGTCCTCTTACAGGTGAAGATTCCGTGATGCAGGACGCCACAACAGCTACGATAGTAGCTCGGAACCTCCTCACTCCCAGAGATAGTCAGCTGCTTTCAGGACGGTCCGATGAGTTGGCCGTTCAAGAGTCCCTGGCTCTCAGCGTTCAGTGCGCTGGTTCTGTGTCAAACATGGGCCAACGCCTCCTTGCTCGCTCCCGTCAGGTTGAATCATTGATGGCGGAGGTGGAGAACCTGAAGCAAGAGATAAAACAACTTAAGCACGAGAATAGAACTTTGCACGTGCTTGCAAATAATTATTCATCAGGCATGAAGAGGAAGCTTGATGAGCTTGATGACCGTCAACGGTTTGCAGCTTTCTTCCAGAGGCACCTCTTTCCTGGGTCATCCAGCGTTCCACCAAGGTTTGGGGCCTTGAATGATCTATCCTCGGTGCCTCCCGCTCCTATGCCTCCTGCTCCGATGCCTCCTGCTCCTATGCCTCCTGCTCCGATG